ACTTTAGCTATGGGAGTTTCTATTTTTCTTTCTTTTAACTAGCTACTGGTTGTGTAGTGGTTCACGCGGTGAAACCGAGGTGGGCATGCGGAAAGCATGATCTCGGCCGTGTACACCGGTCTTTGACTCCTAGGAGATATAGAGCATAGCTTAGGACCCTAAAACAATAAAAAAACAAACAGCTGTCCGCCACTTTGCATTCCAATTTAAATGTAGCAAATATCCCTCTACCAGGAACTTTACTTTTTTTGTTACGAGTAGTTTTAAATTACACCCGCAGAACAAGAAAAGAAGAATAATTTCTTCCATCTAACATAAATCCCACACCAGATCGTAAACACTTGGAAATATCTGATGGGCTCTTTGGATTTCGTCGGAGAACTTCGTCAGCTCAACCCATTTTCCGAAGGCGAGGGCACCTTCAGGCGTGCCAACAGAGGCCTGAGGTTTTCTGCTTTCTTCGGTTGCTGTTTCGGACCCTCATAGTGACTCCTCAAGGGAAACCAGAGGAGCAAACCTAGATGCCGAGCCCACTGTTGGTGTAGGAACTGGAGCGAAGGCGCATGCGGCTTGTGGAGGTGCACTCCCGATAAGGGGGTCACTAGCAGGCGGAGGAGGATGCAGGGCAAGCCATGCTTTATGTCCCTCCTGTCGAATCAGTCGTATTCTCTCTTTGTCTGGCCGAACAAAAATTCCGCTAGCTCGAAAAGGGCGGGCTGGACAGCCAGGGGAAGAATCCTAGTGTGGGCCAGCGCAATTCAAGCATTTTATAGGTGTCATGCAGGGACCATTATGAGAGTCCGAGGCGCAAATGCTACACCGTGCTCGACGTGTGCAGCTGTTTATGTTGTGAAATCCGTGACAGTGGGGGCAGACTTGAAGGCGGGGGCGATTATCAGCTGGCCGGATTCTAGCAGAGCGAGCAAAGAGGCGAATACTGGTCGGGAGTTTCTCTGAAGCTGGCTTTGAGACTACTAGACGGAGGGTTTCTTCCCACTCAGGGGATTCCCGCGATCGACGCGTCCATGAGATGGAGAAAATTGACTCAGTGTCAATTTTGGCACCTGTTAGCTCCTGCCGGATATCTGCGTCGGATAAGAATAGAATAGAATAGAATTTTATTTATGTCCCTACTGAGTCTATGACTATGAAGGGCAGCTAAAACTATCTAAATCGCTTTAAAGTTAATAGTAAATTTGTATATTGTTGTGCTCAATTTTTGCCAATAGATGATGAGGGTCGCGCCCGCGCCGGATAAGACCTCCGATGATCCGGAGGAATTGTATCCGTATTTTGGAACTGGGCCTAGAAGAAAGTTTATGCGTTTTTCTTGACTTTCAATTGGTAAAATTCCAGTCATGGGCTGCAAAGCTACAGCTGCCTGGAGAAGATCTGTTTCTTGGTCAGGAGAGGGAGCAGCCAAAGCAATGCCAGATGGAACTGAACGAACGTCCTTGATTAGCTCTGGACGGTCTAGAAGGCTTCTCAGCTTCGTGCGGACAAGAAGAGAATCTTGGTGGCGTAAGGGGTGATCAGGCGCTAGGCGGACCATAACCCTCGAGTCGGGCTTGGGTTTTACAGCTAACGGTGCAGTTTTTTTCTTAGTCTGGAGTGGCGGGTCTGGAATAGAGGAGCCTTTCTTTGCGATAGATGCGTATGACAGGGGTGAGTTTATTACTGGAGGGGGATAATTAAACTTGTTTTCGTTAGTTTGTGAGACAGTTGTTGACTGCTCAAAGACTGGCAAGCCGGCAACGACCCTGGCGGCGCTGCGTGTCATGATAGCTTTTAAATCAGCTGCAATAGCCGATGGAAGAGCGCGAAGGTGTTGAACACCGGCGATTTGCCATGCTGATAGTGATGTGGCAGTGTCATTGGTCGTGGCCGCTGAGGGTTGGTGTATTACACGCGCTGATTCACGCGTCGAAGGGGGGTAGATTGGGTATCTACTTTCGGAGTATGTATAGGTGGACTTTCAGAAGAAGCATGTAAAGAACTGGAAAGGCCTGTACCAGAATTCTTTTTCAAGGCTCTTATGGCTTGTAAATTTGGGGCCCTAGTTGTAGGCTCGAGCATATGCGACGGGGCGGGGAGGTAGTGATTTTCTGACCCTGAGTCCATGGACTCATCTTCGGTGTCAATCAGAATTGACTCGGCTGCAGAATGGTGACTCTCAGAGGAAGCTGCAAGAATGGCTTCTTCGCGTGCAGATGGAAATGAGCTCTTAAGTCTTACGCGTTTGGCAGCACGCGTAATAGTTTTCGCATGTAAATCTGGGGGTAGCATTTCACCTACTCATGTAAACTAGATTGCTAGGTCATGTGGCCTAGCTAGCAGTACAAACATGTCAGGAAATGCTGCTTAGTCAGCCAGTTGGTCAAGTGGAGGATGTCCACATCCTCCATACATAACACTTCTTTAGCACTCCGTACTTCTAGTACCCTATTACACATTCTTCACATATCGCATATCACCATCCGTAATATCTTACTCTCGTGACAATACTTTCTCAATATCCCAACAACAGAGTTCACATATAGCTATTGGGTAATAGTCCTCGCTCCATATTATCTACTTGGCGGGACTCAATCACTTGCTAGTAGCTCTGTCTGTACTGGCTGTAGAAAATTATCCTCTCCGTCATTTAGATGTATATTATCATTCTGTCTGTGCTGTAGTCAGCAGAAGGCCCAGAGGAAGGGTGTTTTTGATGTACTTGAAGTTTGGGACACCTGGCATGAAGGCCGTAGCTTAATCAGTACACATCGTCATCTTAGGCACGTCGGTTAGTTTCTCTAGACTGGGCTAGCCGGCTAGTGATCTTGGGAAACGTGCCGTGCGCTGGCAAGACCTTATGTATTGTAAATATTTAAGTATTGGGTATGTCGGCATAACTGGCATTGAAAACGCTGACGCACTCGCTAAATAAGCACGCGCAGCGCCTACGCCTCCCCTATCTCCAACAATCTCTCGAGCAAAGAGTAACATAATCTCTCGATACAAAGCCTCTATATCCCTGTAATGGTCTCAAAACGCTCCTGGACGATACCAAAAACTGGGAATTAACGCCAATATTGGAAGCTCCCCCGAACTCAAGAGCCGTAACCGCTACGCTCGTGGTCGCCTTCTTGCAGCTCGCTCAGGCCATGGAGACTTGCTGACTACCACCGCCGCTTTCACCACTCAGACGCCCTCTGATCTGCGCTTGCAGGCTAGAAAAGTCTCCCGAGCACTTCTTATTTTGTCGACTCAATTCGTGTCGGTCCCGCCTTCGCAGCGGAGATAAACACCCAACGACGGGAATTCGCTGGATTCTGGGCTCTCCTGAAGAATCCATAGCTTTTACTAAATTGCTTCATGAAACATGCTTTTTTGAAGCATGCAATAACAAAACTAATAAGTGCTCCAAACTATAAACACTTGGCCTGTATTTGCCAGAGCTCAGATTAAAAGACATTTGGTCTAGGTTATGGATAACTTTCATTTTCATATAACTATCTTCTCTACTATATTAGAATACAAAAGTCTCAGCTGGAGATAACTTTTGACTTCTTTCGATAGTTCGGGGTGTATGGCCGGTAGGCCTTGGCCCATTTATAATATGTCGGGCTTGTTTAAAGGTATCGGCACGTCGGGTAGTTTATGTAGACTGAGCTGGCCAACATGAGACCTTATGCCTATGTTGTGAGCTAGCACGACGTTAGATAATAATAAAAAATAAAAGATCTCCATTCGTCCACGCGAGTACTAGACCGCCTATTCTCTTCACTCCTTTCACGACGAACTCGTATGACTGTCTCAGAGAGGTAGAACGAAGCGCTCAACTAATGAAAATATCTAAGTGGTGACAAAATCGCTTTTATTAGGATGTTGGCATAAGTGGTCAAGTTCTGGTTGGGCCATCTAGAGGCGGCGAGTTCAACTCCTACATGGCTGATATTAGATCTGACTGCGGCTGCTCTTCGAAAATGGGTCTGGAGGGAATAGCTGAGGTTTTCTTAATGAGGATTTTCCCTCGGTCCGTGGCCCTAGGGTCATGGTGCATACGTTCTTACCAATCCGACCCAACGTAACTAAACGACTCAAATTTAAATATTGGGAGAATTTGGGCACTACTTTGGCATAGAAGATTATGTATTTTGGATATTTTTCAGACATCCTATTTTCCTTCGAGACGATAGCCCGACCTACATCAGAGGGTAAATAACCCACATGTAGTACGATTGTTCAGGTCTCTCCTGAATGGCTTGAAGGCTTTAAACATTACCAGGTAAGTCCTGAGAAATTCAGCCTTTCAAAGTCGTCAGTCTCTCTCGCCCAAGCCACCGTGTCTGCATTATACTTGATCACGCCACGCTCCAGTCCGTTCAATTACATCCAGCCCTCTCTATCCTTCTTTGCCTTTGACTTTTCTCTATCTAGCAGTCATACATTTCTCAAATTGATGGTTGTCGACAGGGATCGGCTTAAACCTTTCGCCTAAGTATTGTCCTACCAGCATCTCTTCTCAGTAGCCCTCAACATTCTCATAGCCTTGTTCCATCAGTTCTATCTTTTCCCCCGTGTATGGCAATTGGTCGATGGATGGATTGTCGAGACGTCATAATTTTCTAGGTTTTCCCATCAAAATGCCATCGTGGATTGCCATAATACAAATGATATATGGTGCTGAAGCATGATCCATGGTTTAGCTTAGAGAGTCGCTCACTTCTAAATTCATATCAAAGTCAATTGACTCGTGTTCGATCATTTCACCTGCAGCGTGTAGGTTCTTGTCGTATACTTGATCTGGTAGAGCACAGCTTGTTTATCTTTATAAAATAGAGTAACCCACGAATAAAAAGGTGGCAGAACCATGACGTGACAGCCATTCTTCTTCGATCATTTCAAATGGCCAGATAATTTTTTGTTAAAATCAATGGTACCGTAAGGAAATTTAAAGCTTGGGATGGACAGTTCAGGGGAATACTACTGGCGCCTATTCACGTTCTCCAGATTTTTCAACGTCTTGGCCTATATTTGATCTCATCCTTATCACTTGCTGCCCCGTCGACAATAACGCCAAGATTAGTGGCACCCAAGGCATTGGGACCCCCGAGACGTCTCCCAGCCTTTGAGCGAGCTTCTGGGCCTTGAGACTTTTCGCTGATTACTAGTTGTGACTCTTCCTCGACACTTAGCATTGTACCCATTATGGTCAAAAATCCCCTTTCTCTATCCTGGCTTGACTCTACGTCTGCCACCCTAAATTTGATCATTCCTTCAACCTTATCTCCATGGCCATCGATGTAGTAGCCGCTAGTTTCTCCCGCAAGAGGTTGGTTGTCTTTATCGTCTTCATCAATCTGAGCTTCACAACTATCCCTCCATTCCCAGTCTGCGGGAAGTCGTTTGCGCTCGATGCTTGCATTGAATAGGTTCCAACAAACAACACCTAAATGGCCATCGTTTTGTAGATTGATATAACCCTCTAGCCATGCGCCCTTCTCCGGCTTCAGTACGAGGAATTCAGCCGTGACCCAGGCCCAGCTTACACCATACTCGTCGATGCTTTTTAGCAGTACAGTATCTCCATCGTCATTGAACGGATTTTGCGATAGTTTCGGGTTGCTGTACGAGAGAATCAGACCATTAAATGGTGGGTAATATGTGAGGATTAGCGGAGAGAGGTGTTCAGCGCACATGCCTTCTACGGGAAACTTTTGAGAGATAGGGGCGAGCGGGAGGAATAGTGATGAAGTTTGTAGGTGAAAAGGAGAAATTTCTTCGTCACATTCTGGTGTCGCACTGGCAGTTCGGGGCTGATGCGACTTGGTTTTTTTCCGCTTGACTGGTTCATCTTCGTCTTGGGTTGGCCTACGCTTTCGCTTCTTCTCAGGACGCGCCTTTGTCGTCTTTTCGGGCTTGCGCGCCAGTGTGGACGAGGACATGGCTTCCAAATACGGTTCAGTGGCTGTCATGGTCTTGAGAGATGGCTTGTTTGGAGAGATGCAAATATTATTTGAATACCGATGAGAACAAAGGGTCCGTCTTGCTTTTTTTTGTAGGTCAGGGATGCGAAATCTATTGCCGAGCAAAAAGTACTGGTGGATCGTAGCAAATGGATGAACTTGTTTGAGTTCAAATAGACCGAAGAATCAGGAATTTTCTGTTGCCGACGACCTCAAGTTTTGCTGACCACCCTTCGGCTCATGCAGGCCCTCGCCCAATCATAGCGCGTCAATCTTGACAGGGCAATAATATTCCCATAGCTCTTAGTCATCTGCCACACGGCTAACTGTCACACTGCAGCTGTTCGATTTAATAATCCCGACTGACATTATCCGCAGCCTCGTAAGAAATTCTAGGTGTCGTCTCCAGCGCCTTGTCAGCAGGATCCCCGTGGACTGCAGACACCTCGACTATAGAAGGTACTGGCTCATTGTGAGCAGTATGTTAAAATATCTTATCTCCTTTGCGGCGTGGAGCTATCTACCTAATGTAAGCAATCACTGACCGATGCAATCTGAGGATGTCGTCCCGAATAGGTCATGACTGATTGTAGAGAGTAGTTCATCACTGGCTTGGTCCAGAGCACCTACTACCAACTAACAATTCGAGTGGGTGAGGCGAAGCCGGCTCCACACACGCCCCAGTATCGCAATCATCGACGCCGTATTCATATGCTCGTACTCTCGGCCTACTTTATCTTCAGTATCTATGAAGCCAACTGGGAGATACAACGCCAGCCAACCTTCAACTCTCTCCTAGGTGTCGGCCCGACACCAAGCAATCAAGAGATAAAGTCGCGCTTTCGCCGTCTCGTCACCTCGCACCATCCCGATAAACTCGGTGCTCACACGCCTGGCGCTGAAGCATACTTCGTTCAGCTCAGACTCGCCAATGATGTTCTGTTGAATCCAGTCAAGCGCTTTGCCTACGAGCGATTCGGTGCTGACATACTCGCCTGTACGCGCTGCTCGTCTCGTCGGGACTTCATCATACAGGGCCTTGAAAGTATCATCCCTCACTATGGCGGCACCATCTTAATCATGTATCTCTTGGGATTTCTTGGATACATCAAATCTGGTATCCACTGGCGCTGGCTTGTGCTGGCTAGCACAGCCACCTTTGAGATCTACACTATAACGCGCCCCTACTTCCCACCCTTTCTCAGCAACTTCCTGAATCCAATTCTCATGACCCTGACGCTCCATCCACCCTATCTCCCTTTTCAGCTCATCCAACTCGCACATAAAATCAGCCTTATCATCTACATTGCCCTATCCCAATTTAGCCTTATCTTCCAATCCACCCAAACAACCGATTCCGATATAGAAATCTCCCGAAATCTAAATTCTGCTCAAGAGAAAGTTAGAGCCATCGAGATAGAGGCGAATCGCCTCTTAAACTTGGAAATATCACCTTTCATTGACGAAGGTACACATCCGATCTTACAGAGTAAGATGAAAGAATGGCTCATACAAAATACGATCAAGATGGATCCCGTGGTCCAAGAAGCTATGAAAAACTCTAATAGGAGCTGCAAAGATAAAGTTGCCGCGGCTATATAGACTACATCTAAAAACCATTGGGCTCTTCATTCAGAAGAACAAGTACGGTCAAGTGATCCGCTCTCATAGAAAATAGTTGCCATTTCTGCATTCAGCAATAAAGTATAGAGACAGTTTCCATTGGCATGAAGACAAATTTTTTAGGACCCTTATTACAACAAACCTCTACAACTAAGAGTGAGACCTGCTAAAGACAAGAATCGTTGTGTTACAAGTTACGATGTCTAATAAATATAGTCTTAAGAGTTTATGGTTAGCGTTAGCAAGTCGCGTACCCACCATTGGTGGGTTTGAACAAGTAGATATTACAGAAGAGCTCGAAAAAAATTGGGAAACTTTTTTTTAATAATACTGGTAGATTATTCCAACAACCTTCATTCACAAGCAGCTGATCATAAATTGACATTAGACGATGCTGGAATGGTTCAATCTGATTATGGCAAATTGTGGAATGAGAAATAAACCATCACTATGTGCGTGACCAAATATTCCTAGGGTCTCCATAAGATGGAGCTTACATCTTTCCCTCCCTAGAAATGCCTATTTTGAGAATATCTACATCGTTTAACAGTTCACTCTTACTAGGCATGGCGTTAATCCTCATCAGCTCACTCGCCTGCATAACCACAGGATCCACACCCATCGTGGCCACAGCTACCACAGTTTCTCCCTTGGTATAATAAGCAATAAATTTGGAAATTTCAGGGTTACCTTTCAGGACCATATCATCCCAACCATTGTAAGTATTGCCGCAGTATCGAAGTTGTGAACCAAGAGCAGACCAAAAAATTGGAATGAATCGAGAAGATTTAGTGCTTGAAGCGACAATGTGAGCTGCTGCAGCACGCCCGGCATTTTGGGCAACATTCCAATGTTCAATACGAACAAGTGTACCATCACCTCCTGGGCCGTGGTAAGGATATTTTGCAATATCGCCGATCGCATAGACATCTTGAAGTCCTTCAACTAAGAAATTCTCGTCGGTCTTGATAGAACCATCTTCTTGAAGCTTGATATCGCTGTTGCCTTTTAAGAAACTTGTCGCAGGAAATACACCAGTCCCAAGTACAACTAAATCAGCCGGGAGATTTGTGCCATCCTCTAATTCGATGCTACCAACTTTCGATGGGTCTATTTGGGAAGGAAGAGCTTGTCTGATTTTTGCAGACAAAAAGAATTTCACTCCGTTTGCTTCATATGTCTTCTGAATGATCTGGCCGACTTTTTCTCCCATTACCCGCAATAATGGTACGCTCTCCATACCGACAATAGTAACATCGTTATCTTTCACCAGGGCATTCGCAACCTCCATACCGATAAACGAACTACCAATTATTACAACTTTTTTGTTCTTTGATCCAACTGCGGCGTTGATACTTCTTGCGTGATGGATTGTCCTTAGAGGAAATATTCCATCTAAGTCTTGGAATCCGGGAAGAGAAACCATTCTTGGTGAGCCACCAGTGGCAATGACCAATTTTTTGAAGGCGTAAGTACCTCCACTCTTCGTTGTTATCTTTTTTGATGTATATTCGACAGACGTGACTTCGTCTTCAATAAAATCGATCGATATATCATTTAGCCAAGATTGGTCCCTCAGAGCAATTTTAGATGGATCATCAATCAATGCCTTTGACAGCTTCGTCCTATCAATTGGAAGGTACCCCTCGCAACCAATCATTGTGATTTTACCTTTGAATCCATTTTCACGAAGCGCTTCAGCTGCTGCTAAAGCTCCACTTCCTGCACCGACAATAGTAACTGTCTCGGCACTAGCGGTCCCACATATCTTGAGATTGGGCTTTCTTCGGCTGCTCTTGATATCTTGAACATCGCCTTTGATGAATATCGAGCCATTCCTTTCCGATAGTTCAAATGAAGGGAGAGCGTCTATTGCAGGGGCATTTTCAATATCACCATTGGAGGCTTTGAAACAAGCTATTAACTATGTTAGCACAAGTGAAAAAGGTCCATAATAAAAACATTATACCTCCATGCCAAGGACATGTAATTCTGCCATCTGATGTAAGGACTCCTTTCACCATCGGAGCTCCATAATGAGTGCATTTCGAGCCAAGAGCTGTGATCCTTCCATTTACGTTGCAAAGTAGTACTTTGCCGTTCTCTACACCTTCTACTTCGACCTCTCTTTTTTCACCTGGTGTTAGGTTGAGAGTTTCAATGCCTTTCAGTTTGTATTCCTGAGCCATTTTTCTAGACAAAAAAGTGAATTTACGAGCTGCACAGCGGTAGATTTGCTTGTTGTGTGGCCAAATTCTAAGTAAGGATAAACAAATCATGGGAGGGTCTGGTGGGTGATATCCGCTTTTATGGTCGCTGCAGATTGTAAGTTCTTGTGGCGGTGATTTAGCTTTGCAATACTTGGAATTTTACTGGCTAGCTGGGATCCGCAGGTTCTTAAAATCATAGGCTCATAGACCTAAGGATAACCAATCGTTCAAAGCTGTCAACGCAGACAAGGATTCATGCGCTAATAATTACTTACCGTAGGGTTGGAAACTCATTGTGAGCTGTAGCATCAGCAAGGTAATTTCAAGTCCCATAATAATGCGAAACGCAAATGGTCACTGATGGCTTCTCGGACTAGCAGGGTCGACATGTTGTGAGCGGCATTCAATATAAGTGGATGATAAAAATTGATTCTAGTACGAGCTCCGACTCTCTAACGTGATCAATGACATCATATGTTGACATCAAGTTGTAAATGGATCCGCAGCACGAAGTCGAGGCCAACCAAGCTTCGTTGGCCCCAACGAGTTAGTCAAAGACACCACGGCGGCGGTATTCAAAGAATCACGCCAGTGCAATTGTGACACCCACAACTTTTGATGCTCAATACTATAAACACGAGAGACATCATGGTGATGAATTCTGTGCTTTTATTAGGTCAGTAAGTCGCTCTAGTAACCTGATCATGGCCCAGCCTTTCCGTCTTCATATCTCGACGTAATCTACGAATTACACTTCCAGACTCTGAAAGTGCAAACGAATGTCAGTTTCATTCATGCGGCATAGCTTGTAGTGTAAATTGTAATGCATGGAGGCTAGATAATAGATTCTACTTTGTAATTCTAACCCTGGCCGTCCAAATCGTTCACATACCCTATCGCTTCATTCCCTATAAATCCCGGATGTATGTCGCTACTTGGGTCTTCCTACAAACAAGACTGCTTGGACTAACGTACAATATCTTGAAACCTGAATTGAATGACTGAAAGGCTCAAATTTAACCTCCATCTCTTGAGAAAGCAATAAATTGGTACGGATTAGAGATTCGAGTAATGCCTGCGTAAAGTATCGTACACTGGAGGGCCGAAGTAACTTACTTTTCGAAATTTTTAATAAGCTCGGCGCAAACTTCGTACGTCGCAAGCCTATTCCATAGAAGGAATATGTTCTACTGCCAGTACACCAATTGCACATATGCTAAACAATTGTAAGATCATCTTCTGGGTAGTATTGGTTGAAGACCTGCATTCCTTGGTCTTGAAGTAGCGAAACATGAGACCAAAAGTTGTGGCTCAATAATATAATTTTTAGGATTCCTATTCTTGGATATCACAAGCAGGAGAATCTGGACGTACTTTGAGGTTTTTGATTCTGGCTTCCTTGGTGCATTACGAATTTGTCGTAGTTTATAGGGTAAGTTGAAAAAACCCTAGGCAATAATTTACCATCGTAAAGTTTATGCAGCTTAAGTACGCTAGTCCAGGCCCTCAAACCCCATGATCCCAGTCGAAGATATTTTGGACACTCGGGGCTTCTTTCGCTTCCTGTCATTTTGGCTGGAAGGTCTTCTTACGCAAGTTTCCGCGTCAGAATCGCATGATGTCATGTCGTCAATCGAGCTTCCACCGTCTCTCCCCTCATCATCCTCTTCATCTTCGCTGCCATTATCTGACGCCAGCTGCTGCCAGGCCTTGACAATTGTGCCGCCTCCGCTTATCAGACGACCATCGACATCAAACCCAAGAGCTGTGACGCCCTCAACGCCATCTAGCCTTTCGTGTTGCAGTGTAGCAGTTACTTTGTTAATACCAAGCTTAACAATGTGTATTTTGCCATCTTCGACTCCCACAACGACGTTTTTTCCTCCATCTCCCACTCCCTGTGGCATGAGAGCAATTGATTCTAGTGCACAAGCCTCTGATCGGCGATTGACAACTCTAATTCTTTCTTGTTGATCATCCCAGACGCCCTTTTCCCATAACGTGAGGACTCCACTACTATCACCTAAAAGTAGCTTCTCGCCATTACTCTTGCCTGGTCTTATGGGCAACCCACCGACAAAGGTAGAACACAGCAGCTCCTCCTCCTGATCTGCACTCTGAGCTAGCACACCTTTTCGCAAATCTGTGACTGCTAGTGTCGTCCCGCCAGTTGAAATCCACTGCTTGCTGAAGCCAGATTTACTCGATGAGCTTGGAGGAAGAGGTGTGAGTGATGATATGTAGTCTTGGTGTGGAAAGTATGTCTGTGCCGGCCTTGGGGTCATAATACTTGGGCTTCGGAGATCATATACGTGAATCGCTGCAGAATCAGTCGCGAGAAGAAGAGTCTCTGGAGAAAGCGCATGCACCAGCGATGGTGCATCAGCTTTACCGGCTGAGTATGGAATAGCAATTTTGGATACAACTTGACCAGTTTGAGAGGAGGCAGCTTTGACTAGACCGTCGGTACCAGATGAGTAGAGTACTGTGGTTATAATTAAGCTATGTTTAAGCAATAAATCCTAAGAACAAACCTTCGCCATCGTGGCTATAAGCCAAGGTTCGACAGCTTCCGCGATGTCGACGGGTTCGCCACTCAAGGTCGATGGCATTAGAGCTTATAGATGCTATACTCGTGTTGTGGTCATCCTCGTCATCGGAGCCGGCTTCTGCAGGTGGTAAACGAAATGACTCTACCTGGCCACCAGCCAATCCGACGGCAAGGACTGGCTCCGTGGGATGAAGAGATTGGGCGAATAGATGGGAAGAAAGAGTGAGTGACCAGACATTTTCGAACATTGTAATGACAACGCGTTGATGAGTGTGACGAGGATGTATTAAGGGGCTTTCCAGGCGCTGAAGAATATCTTCCAGACTCTCTCCTAGTCCGATATGTCATGTGACACCGTGTATTTTCTATCACCTTCAATTTGAGAAACACGTAGTCACGTGTTGAGTACTGCAACATTGAATAGAACCACAGCGTAAAAAAGCCGTGTCATGGTTAAATCTATCTAGTCGCGCATGTTTACCGATTAATGCATAGAGTGAAGCCCTTTAAAGGTGATACAATTTGATAGCGTGTGATCAAACAACGTCCGGAAGCTGTGGATCCTTAAGACTAACACGCTAGCGCCCTAGACCTTCGCAAATCATTGATGTTAATTTATTCATTCAAAGGATTATCAGACTAGGTCGAATAAGAGACGATCTCTAGATACGATTTTTCCTACATTGTTGATATGTGACAAAGATATTATTGGATTATTTTTATTTTTATTAATTTCTAATGTTCAAAAATTCAAATGGGGGCGGACATTGGGAGGTACGGTCCAGGGCTAGAATACAGTAGTAATTACGATAGTTATTTTCTGTTTGTTAATGGAAAGACTGATGTACCCTTTACGGCCCGCTCTAGATCTCTATCCGTGGTTGAAAGAGTGAGAGTATACTTATTTCTCAAAAGACTGAGTCTAAGCCAAAGGTCTAACAACTTAATCAGCATGAAATCCAGAATAGGGTCCCTTCTATCATGTTGCAATACGCGAGTTGATTCATTATACTTGTCATGTCTCACGCAGTGAATGCGTTCGCCTACATCGCATAGGACTGTTACTCTGATGTGTGGAAATCAATATCAGAAATTCTCAAGCCTCAGACGAACCTCTCAGTTCCCTTTCAAGAATCTTAATAGATTCGTGTGCTGAGGAATAATGTCACGCGCTTTTGTGAATTGTTGTAGGACCTCATAATGTTAGATTGCGATCTAGCTCTATCCGATTCCGGTAGAGGTTCCCTGCAAAAAAACCGCGTTTGTTATGCGAAGTATGACTGGGCCACACATACACGACACTACTTGCCTATCACGTCTAGCACACGGGCAGTTGCTGAGGATCGACGACCATTTTATTTCAATGGCTTCCGCAGTGTTCCAGGCGGTCACCCAGACAAATGTATTTATTTGTTTATTTTCAAGTCCGAAACAGACGCTTCTATCATTTTAGATGTCTGACCACCGGTGCCGGCCGTGATGTAACCACGAGACCTCCCCTGCTCGTTCACACTGATTTTAGAGCTAATAAATCTTGAAGTTGTCATACCAGTGATATAGCAAACGAAGGAATTAAATGAACAAAGGAAATTATAATGTGTCGTGACGACACTCCTCATCGTGAGCTCTCTGCCGCTGGCGAACTAGCCCTGGCATTTATTCAAAGAAACCTGCCCCTGCATCCAGCATAGAACTAGTTTGCATCCGTCGTGTCAGAGCCAATTGTGAGCTGCACGCCATTCTTCAAATTCTCTAACCCTTTATACGTGAGAACTTATTTTACGTATATAGTGCTATTTAGTCTATGACTACGTAAGGACATTCAGGTCCTATCTGCATACAATCCAAGGATTCTTTTCTGGTAGTATATCCCCTCTTATGCCTCCCAAACAACTCCCCTCAAACAGTACCACCCCTCACAAGTCATCATTCGATCATACACTAAGAGGAGCCCTTAGCCCTTCATTATCTCCCCTCTCCGGCCAACGAAACGATGGCCATTTGCGGGTGTATGGCAGCCGGGAAAAATCGAAAAAAACCACTGGGTGCGGAGCTCTCCTAATACCGACATTAGGACTAAATTCGAAGACATAGTGACCCTTCTGATGCGTTCGAAGAGGCCGGCCAGCTGGGCGCTGCAGACTTGTGGATACCTCTGGAAATTCACTCTATGCCTTTCTAGCCTCCTTCCAACCCTTTCCCGAAGTTCGTGATGAAATGCCAGAATAATTTGAAACAGATTGATTGCTTTGTAGTTCATTAGCCTGACTTCTTTTGTGGCCTCTGGGGTAATGGAGAATACCGCAGACTCATGGATAATGAAAGTCCTCCTGGCTAGTTATCCGATAGCATATTCTTGGCGCCCACAAATGTTCCAAAGTTGAAAACCCCTCAAAAATGTCAATTTCATCATGACCATGAGAGATGTCTTCCTTCTTCCGTTCCACACCTTAGCCGCCTATCCTTCATCAAGCAATTTTTCCCATTAGAACCATAGTCCGCCATAAAATAGGATCCGAGCTTTGTATGGTCTGACTTAATTTCCTCCCCGCGAGTTATGTCGGGTCGTAAGCTTGTAGTTGGAGACGGCCGAAAATCAATAAGGCAAGCTAACGTTTATAATTGGAGTAACTAGCGCCTAGTAGTTGAGGCGAGGTGATGTAGTAGTTGTACCAAATTGTACATATTGCTAGCGCACACAACGTTTCCCACAGCCATTAGCCGGTAAGCTCAGCATATGACACTACGTAGTCGAGGGGGTTTTTTTTGATTTTATGGTCCTAAGCTAAGCTCTATATCTCCTAGGAGTCAAGGACCGGCGTACACGGCCAAGATCTCGCTACCCACATGCCCAACTCGGTCTCACCGCGTGAACCACTACACAACTAGTAGCAAGTTAAAAATAAAAACACCCATAAATTCCCTTTAACAAAAAATTCCAAATGCAAAACTCCAATTTGAGGTGGGAAAGCGAAACTTCTCGTCTCGTTTTCCTTTCTGCCATGCTTCGTGCTATGACCTAATCAATGTCCTCTCCGCTGAGAGCTGGAGACGGACTCACAGGTTGGCCTCCGAAGCAGCCGGTTTCCTGCACAAAATATGTAAAATTCTCAAGGCACCTAGGCCTGAGAAGCTTTTGGACAAAGTTGTGATGTGACGTTGTCCCTTGAAGTCGACGCGTTTGGCGTGCGTGCAGTCCACAGTGAATAAATCGGAGAGGCGATGTTTCCTCCCCACACGCACACTCCATTGAAGCGGCGAAGTTATTGGAACGACGATGGCATGTAGCGAAGTTTCCGTGTCCCGTACGAGCTGAAATCAGTTCACGGAGTAGCCGCCGGGAAAGTGCCTGCTCGCGTGGCTTGCGTCGTCGCATGAGAAGGCCCAGATTACAATATCTAGGTGGGCATGCTTCTTCCCACCAATCGTCAAGAAGTGTTTGCCTGTTCCGGTCCATGAGCCGACGAACATACGCCAAAGTGGCGGAGCCAGGCTGGCTCTCTTTACTTGGCAGTTGTCGGAGGCCGGAGCGTGCAGCTCTATCGACCTCTTCGTTTCCCTGTATCCCGGAGTGGGCTGGTATCCACTGAACCGAGACTCGAGCCTTTTCTGATAACGCTCTAAATTGTCGCACGTCGTCGAGACTTGTTGTGGCAGTTCCCGTTAGCAGTGCGTTCACTGCAGACTGACTATCCGACAACACGTTGATCCGCCGCCTGCTGTCAATTCCACTGTTTTCCCTCTCCAATAATCCCAGCGCAGCTTCCAGAGCCTTTGCTTCCCCTACAATTTCCGCATCGAGCACTTCACCACAATGCTTGATGCCACATCCCTTCAACGGAGCTTTCCATCCCTCTTCAAGACGAACCCCCATGCTGAGCGACCATTCCCCTCCGACAATCCATCTAGGTAGGCGCAAATATCTGATGCCAGTACACTATCCATGAACCGAGTTACCTTCTCTTCCTCCTCTAACCTTGAGCCGAAACACGAAAGATAGCATGGCGGCGGCAAAGGCTCGGCATTTTCCGCGCCCGGGAGTTGACGGTAGGCCCGCTGTACTCGTGACATCTGGATCCCCGGATTCTTGGGTACCCGAGCAGACTTCTTGTACTTCCGTGTTCCATCGTTTGGACACACGGCAGCACGGGTCCGGAGTGGGTGGCGATTGTCTAGTGAGTGTAGCCGAGCCGAAAACCGTAAGCGGTTCCCTTCCAGAATGATCTTTCTAGTTGGGATACCTCCTTCGCGATGGAGAACAAGATTAGATGTCGTTCTCATTACCGGAAGGGCAGCGCGCAGCCCTGTTAAGATTGCTTTGTCAATCATCTCGCAGAAGATGCTGGCTCGAGGTGTGATGATCCCCCTAATGGTCGGACGTTTGAGGCCGGGCCACCAAACATCTGATCCAAAAGTTGCTATTGGGACAATACAAATATCCACCGCTCGAACCAGTGCCGCGGGGGCTGCTCCTCGATACGCTGAGTTGAAACGGCGCATGTGCTGGGCAACCTTCAACGCCTTTCTACTCCAAGTTGTGACATGGTGTTTAAAGTCCAGTCGCGGGTCTAGATGTATTCCAAGCCAGCGTATTTGGTCTGCTGGCTCGATAGCCACGCCGTTCACACGAATAGCCACCGGATTCTCGCGTTTCCTACCAGGAAACTGGACTATCTCCGACTTGTTAGTATCGAAGGAGACTGCATTGTTACTTGCTCACTCCAGAAGATGATCCACTTCCTTCTATACAGAAGCGGCCGACTCGGCAATGCTACGCCCGAATCCTAGTATCCCGATATCGTCTGCGTAGCTGAACCTCATTCCTGGGTTGCCGCTTCGCATAGGCTCTGCCATGTATAGAAGGAAGAGAAGTGGCGATATTGGTGATCCCTGCGGAACCCCACAAACCAGCTCTCTCTGCCCGGTTACCCCTCCGAAGTATTAGACTTGTACCTTTCGTTGTGCAAGAAATGAAGCCGTCCATCGGAGAATCGAGTCTGGACACCCCTGATCATGCATCCTCCTCACCAAACGGTTGTGGAGTACTGCATCGAATGCGCCTTGGACATCGAGAGTCGTGAATGTGGCCGCCCATTGTCACAGTTCAAATATAGAAAGCAAATGGGCATTTGTATGATTGAAAGGTAAAGCTATAATTCATCTATGTAGAAGCAAACTACCTGCAAGTCTACTCTACTACTTATACACATCCAGAGGTATCTAAATCTAGCCTACACTTACAGTGGCA